GAAAATATTTTTATCTGGACACTTTTTGTTTTTGATATTGCTACTATGCGAGTAAACATTTCAGTGTACAGTTTACACCTTCTGTATCCTGTGCATGTGACCAACATATTTAGATTTTATTTGATATAGTGTGCGTTTACCACATGGCCTCACATGTGAATCCTTAAAGAGATGGGTGGGGCTCAGGCTTAAGAGGGTGTGAAAGATGCTGAATGGGTGTAGACAAAGAAGAGCTCTCCAGTAGATGTACCAAAACATTCATTTACATTTTAGTCATTTAGCAGACGCTCTTATCCAGAGCGACTTACAGGAGCAATTAGGGTTAAGTGCCTTGCTCAAGGGCACAGACAGATTTTTCACCTAGTCGGCTCGTGGATTAGAACCAGTGACCTTTCGGTTACTGGCACAACGCTCTTAACCACTAAGCTACCTGCCGCCATTCAAGGCCATTTTCTCAAAAGTGGGGTTACAAGTTTATCAACTTTCAAAGCATAATTAATTTCCCATTGTTCCTCAACTGCAGTGTATGATATACCATTTTCTAGCTCTGAGTCTCTACTTTTATCCAATGTAAAAAACACAATTTCAATTGTTGCTTCATAAGATCGAATCGAGGCAGTCGGTCACATATGTCAACACCCCGGGAGTCCTCTTACATTTGGGAACTTCACAGTCCTATTGATCAAACAACCATGAAAAGGTAGAACAGCCCCTTATTCTGCGCTCTGGCACACTCAGACTGAAATCGGAGTAACGTTAGATAGCTTGCTAGAGTGAATTTGAAAACGCAAGAGATATGCTAACTGGACAACAGTCGTTCAGCATAGCTAGCTAGCTAGCTAGCAAAGCGATTCACATTTCTTGCTAGTTAACCAAATGACACGTGCATCTCTTGCTGTGTAGCTATCGAAAAACGGTACAAGGCAGGGAAAAAGTCAGTCAGTCATCCACTCCTCCAATGACATTACGTCCTGCTAGCAGCTAGCTAGCTAACGTTAGGCTCTGTGTTTTTAGCTTGCTACATAAATAGATACACTAGCATATTAGTTAAGACTGATTTGGGATCATTGCCTTGCTAGTTTGATTGTATTGACATTCCCAGCCTTAGTTACATTCGTCCGTTTTTGTCCAATATATTGAGTCATTAAAACTGAAACAGTGCATCCCGAGTGGCGCAGCAGTCTTAAGGCACTGCATCTCAGTGCTTGAGGCGTCACTACAGACCCATAGGGCGGCGCACAATTGGCCCAGCGTCGTCCGGGTTTGGCCTGTGTAGGCCGTCATTGTAAATAAGAATTTGTTCTTAACTGACTTGCCTAGTTAAATTAAATTAAATTTAAAAAATGGTGGCAGCAAACAATGTACCAGGCCAGCTGTGATTTACAACCTGATAGCAATATTTTTTCACTCCCACAAAATGTATTGGTGAATTATAATCATGCATTGAACTGCATCCATCTATTCTGCCACTAATGCCTTAGTGTACATCATGGAATGTTGAGTCAAAAAGAACCTATTTTCAAAACCTCAGTTGGTTTTGTATCAAACTGGGAATGTTATATTTTTTTTACAGATATTATGATTGTCTGTTTCAGATCTGCAAAGTACGTTAGTTAAAACGCTGTCAGTTCCACTTTAAAGTCAGCGGTTTTCTGAAAGAAAAACGTTAGCGAACAGTTATAGTTACCTAGCTAACTACTTTACTTACTTAGCTGCTAAGTTAGGTAGCTGCTTAGCTAACTACAGTAACGGCCAATGTATTCGTGAATATCAACATTAAACAGGTAAATGGTTCTTTACGGTCTGACACTTTGCAAAAATGTTTAGCTAGCTAACGTTCCTCAAACACAAATTCATTAGTGTGCCCTCCCTCCCCTGCCTTGTTGCACTGCTGGTAGTACAACGGCAGCATCATCTAGCCAGCTGTCAGTGGTAGGTAGTTAACGTTAGCGCGCTGTTGCTAACATTTGTTACGCTAGTTAGCTATGCCAGTTCGTCCCCTAACGTTAGCCTGCAATCCTTTATCAACATGGCTCTTGAAATCACGAACATCTTTAGCTAGCTACCTTTGCAGTCGAGATAGCAATCATCACTTACCGCTCTCTTGTTCGTTGCCTTTCTTAGCTGTAGCAGCGTTTCCCATTGTACTAAAATTAAGACACGGCGATGTATCTAAAGCGACAATAGTGTTGAGGGGTCCTCCGTAGCTAGCAAGCTATTCGTCTTCAGACAGATACTTAATGTTCTGCTTGTTAGCTAACTAGCTAACGTTACTGTAGCTGGCTAACTAACATTTATTCCGTTAGTTGCACTACCGAATGGGACTGCCGTACTCTGTCAACCCCTTTGACCTTTTTTGCAGTTGACTTTATCGTTAGATGCAATTAGTGAAACACCCCTATGTCACTGACATAAAGACATATTCAGGCTTTTCACCTCAGCCTGTCGTTCCACCGTTGTCACCAGCACCAGTAAAAAATATATAAATATATATATTTTTGCAAACACCGGAAATTACGAAAACGTAATCTTCTATCATATTATGGCGGTCCGCAAACAAACGGTGCATGCCGCCACCTACTGTACTGGAGTGTGTAGTCAATCACAGCTTAGACTAAATGAACAAAGAAACATTAAGATAAACTAAACCCTACTATCTAATCCTGTACTATTAAGAAAATAAAAAAAAGAGCCCTACTAACGTCTATCAAACCCTCCCCCATCCCCAAAATCCCTACACATTAATCTTTCCCTCTCTTCCACATACCGGTACTTACAGCAATACATCAACACATGCTTCACTGTTTCATCAACCATACACAAACCATTTGCATGTTTGCCAACCAGATACAATTATATAATAAATTCAATGTACAATGTCCTTCATAATCTGACCCTTGAATCTTGGTCCACCAACCTTTCTTTGGAAGGCATATAAAAGAGTCCCACCTCTTTTGCCATACATCTATCATAATGGCTCTAATCTTACATTTGGCCTCACTTCTACCCAGTGGAGCACGAATATAAATTATATCTTGTTTTAAAGCCCTTTTGGCCCACTCCCGAATGGGCTGGGACACATCAGATCGCACTACACCCTGTCTCTCGATTCTCCATAATAATAATAATGCCTTTAATAGTAGGTCACTCCTGTTAGATTTACCAGATGACAAACTATTCAATACAGACAGGGAATCTGAGCATACTACAATTCTGACAGGTTAAACGTCCTGGAGGGCAGCTACTACTATCGCCAACTGTTCAACAGAGTATACTGACAGTTAATCTGTTAGTCTTCAACATAACTCCACATCACATTGCGGAATGTAAATGCCTGCTCCTGTACGACCACTATCTGGGTCCTTGGAGCCATCTGTAAAAATCTGTAAAAAACTATAAAAGCTTCTACCAAGGTAATTATCAACCAGTTCCCCTATATCACTCACTTCTGACCAATCTTTTCTTTTCTCTACCAAGGTTAGATCAACAACAGGATCCGGGAGTAACCAAGGAGGAACATCCCCCATCACCACAGAAGGGCCAACCTCCAACTCCCTCAGACCACTGTCATCAGCAAGCTTTTCAACTGTCCATCCAAAACCTCTGCCTTGTTCACTAGTATATTCGCAACAGTCATCTAGAACAGTAGCAGTGAGATGACCAACCTCACAGCCTTTCAGTCTAACCCAATAAGCTAACAACAATATTCTTTCCTGCCTCTACTAATAATGCACGTACAGGTGTTGATACATATCCTTAAAGCTCTATACTGGATTCTGTCCAGCCTCTGAAGCCAAGTCTTCGCCGCTGTTCCATAAGCTATGCACCCATAATACATTCTCATTCTGATCATAGCTCTAGTCTTTTGTTTTGTCTGTAATAATAGCTATAGTCTTTTCTTTTGTATGTAATAGTAGTCAATAGAATAATTATGATTTCAATGCCCTCTTGTCCACCTATTGTAGACATCAGGAAGCAATTTGGGAGTATGTTTACTTGACTGCAGTGCTGCTAAAGGCACTTGAAGGCTGAGTGTGGCATTCCAGTTGTTCTTGGTTAGCTAGCTAGCTTTTTCAACCCACGTTGACAGTAGTGAGTTCTGGTGACAATAAAATGGTGAACCATTTCTCAGTAGTCAGAACACTCAAGAGGCAAAGCAAAGCCCCAAAGAATTGGGAGTGGCTAACAAGCTCTTGCATGGTTTGAAAACCAAGGCATTGCTTGCAAGCAAGCCTACATTGAGCAGAAAAATGTATGCACTCACTAAACTGTAAGTCGCTCTGGATAAGAGCGTCTGCTAAATGACTAAAATGTAAAATAGCTCGCGTTTTTAATCACATAATGTTACAATTTCTTATCTCCACACCAGTCGGGAAAGATGGCTTTGTCCTGCAAACAAATCACAGATTGAACAAGATGATTTGCAACATTTCTCATTAGCTGGCTAGCCAGATCACTAATTCAGGTGTTTTAAAACTGAGCAGTTCTTCATAATTGACACATTCCTGAATTAACAATTAACTAGTTTTTTAACTTTGGTTGTTCATCTAAACAGCTGAAGAGATCACCTGCTAAGTATTGGTAGTGTCCAACGTTAGCCCTTGATCATGACTCTCAGGTCCATTACATTATACATAAGAGTCATTGGAGAAAGACGTCTTCTTTAGGGGGGAGTTTTGGTATGATCTCCGACACTCGGTCTCAACATTAACATGCATCGCTTGCGATAGACTTTTGGAGGCATAAGGATATTATCTTTCATATCAGCGAGAAATAATAATAATACTTTTTTTTTTTTAAAGGTTAAATTGATACACACCTTCATAGGGTTAGGGTTAGTGTTTCCACATCATGCCATATCTCCATGTTAAAACGCTTGTTTACAGAAAACAAACGGAAGACAAGAGGCGACCACCTGTTCTAATTAGCTATCTAGCATGATCCGAACTGGACAGGCTGTTCATCAACCTGCCAGTCTCTGAGTCACCACTTTGCGGTACATGATGGAGATGTAGATGAAGGAAGAGGAGCAAGATGACGAAGAAGTTGTCCATGAAGCCTAGCAAGCTGAACAGGGCCTTGGGGATGAAGTCCAGCCAGGAGGCCAGGTAGATGAGCGTCCCACCAGACACAGGATACAGATACAGAACATTCAGAAAATGCCTCCCATGGAGAACTTCTTCCTGATGGCGTGGCGCAGCAGCGTGGGGATGTCCCACAGGCGATCCATGAGAGATCTGGGCCGGCCTGAGAACCTACGGTTGTAGTAGTTTAGATCCTGCAAGATGAGTATCGGCTCAGCCTGCCCATCCTGGACCTGCTGTAGGTGTGGTCTTGGAAGAGCAGAAAAAGCAATGTCACAATTTGTTTGCAGATTGGATGCAGCTGCACCAAGCCAAGTCCCACACCTCCAATACGCAATAATACAGGAAGCACAGAAGAGGTGTCCAGTTGGTTTCTACCGACACACTAGACAGGACATGTCAGTGTAGTACTGCGGTCTGGGGTCAGCGGGGGTTTCATTTTACATTTTACATTTTAGTCATTTAGCAGACACTCTTATCCAGAGCGACTTACAGTTAGTGAGTGCATACATTTTTTAATACTGGTCCCCCGTGGGAATCGAACCCACAACCCTGGCGTTGCAAGCGCCATGCTCTACCAACTGAGCTCTGATTGATTGATTGATTGATTGATCTGATTGAAGCTGCTCCTGAACAGCACGCACATGCTCTTAGTTCTCTGGGTGGATATTTTGTTGTTCATCTCTGTAGACCAGTGTTAGAAGTCCAATCAAAAACCTGAAACTCAGAACTACCACAACCAGGACTGAGTTGCTGAACCCTTCTATGAGTGAATCTTCATCTTGTAATACATTGTCTACATCCCCACACTGGTTTTCATCCATTACACCCACTCTGAATAGAATCCCCTTAGGTGCCCCCATCTCCCAGTTCCCACGGAACCTGCGGGAGACAAAAGATGCACCAGTTTAATGAATGTCAGTCTTTCTGCTTCAGTTTAGTAACATTGAATCTAATAGAGATTTATTTAATATCAATTGAATTACATAATTTTAGAATTTTGTAATATTATTTACATCTTGTGCTGAAACGTATAGACAGTGGGGATAACTGTGAAGGTTAAAAGCGCACAGCTTCCCCCACTGACCCGTTTCTGGGATGATGAGGAAAGCAAAATAATGAACATCACATTTCATAATGGTGGGAGCAAGTTTGGCAGCCAAATATAACTATACTGAACAAAAATATGAACCCAATATGTAAAGTGTTGGTCCCATGTTTCATGAGCTGAAATAAAAGATCTGAGAAATGTTCCATACGCAAAAAAACTTATTTCTCTCAAATTGTGCACACATTTATTTACATCCCTTTTAGTGAGCATTTCTCCTTTGCCAAGATAATCCATCCTCCTGACAGGTGTGTCATATCAAGAAGCTGATTAAACAGCATGATCATTACACAGGTACACCTTGTGCTGGGGACAATAAAATACCACTAAAATGTGCAGTTTTGTCACACAACACATTGCCACAGATGCCTCACGTTTTGAAGGAGCGTGCAATTGGCATGCTGACTGCAGGAATGTCCACCAGAGCTGTTGCCAGAGAATTTAATGTTAATTTCTCTACCATAAGCTGCCTCCAACGTCGCTTTAGAGAATTTGGCACTACGTCCAACCGGACTCACAACCTCAGACCACGTGTAACCACGCCAGCCCAGGACCTCCACATCCGGCTTCTTTACCTGCGGGATCCTCTGAGACTAGCCACCCAGACAGCTGATGAAACTGTGGGTTTGCACAATCAAAGAATTTCTGCACAAACTGTCAGAAACCGTCTCAGGGAAGCTCATCTGCGCGCTTGTCGTCCTCACCAGGGTCTTGACCTGACTGCAGTTTGGCGTCGTAACCGACTTCAGTGGGCAAATGCTCACCTTCGATGGCCACTGGCACGCTGGAGAAGTGTGCTCTTCATGGATGAATTCCGGTTTCAACTGTACCAGGCAGATGGCAGACAGCGTGTATTGGCGCCATGTGGGCATGTCACCCATTGAGCATGTTTGGGATTTTCTGGATCGACGTGTACGACAGCGTGTTCCAGTTCCCGCCAATATCCATCAACTTCTCACAGCCATTGAAGAGGAGTGGGACAACATTCCACAGGCCACAATCAGCAGCCTGATCAACTCTATGCAAAGGAGATGTGTCATGCTGCATGAGGAAATTGGTGGTCACACCAGATACTGACTGGTTTTCTGATCCACGCCCTACCTTTTTTTAAGGTATCTGTGACCAACAGATGCATATCTGTATTCCCAGTCATGTGAAATCCATAGATTAGGGCCTAATGAATAATTGACTGATTTCCTCATATGAACTGTAACTCAGTAAAACCTTTGAAATTGTTGCATGTTGCGTTTATGTTGTTGTTCAGTTTAAATACAATCAATGCATGATCACACCCAAATAAACCTAAGTACAGTGCCTTAAAAAAGTATTCACACCCCTTGACCTTTCCACATTTAGTTGTTAAAGCCTGAATTTAAAATAGATTAAATTGAGATTTTTTTGGTCACTGTCCTACAAACAATAACCCATAATGTCAAAGTGGAATGATGTTTTTTGAAATTTTTACAAATTAATAAAAAATGAAAAGCTGAAATGTCTTGAGTCAATAAGTATTCAACCTCTGTGTTATGACAAGCCTAAATGAGTTAAGGAGTAAAAATGTGCTTAACAACTCACAACACAGATTCAACCACAAAGACCAGGGAGGCTTTCCAATGCCTCGCAAAGAAGGGCAACTATTGGTAGATGTGTAAAAAATAACAAAAGCAGACATTCAATATCCCTTTGAGCATGGTGAAGTTATTAATTACTATTTGGATGGTGTATCAATACACCCAGTCACTACAAAGACACTGTACATGCGTCCTTCCTAACTCAGTTGCCGGAGAGGAAGGAAACCGCTCAGGCATTTCACCTGGCCAATGGTGACTTTAAAACAGTTACAGTGTTTAATGGCTGTGATAGGAGAAAACTGAGGATGGATCAACAACATATTAGTTGCTCCACAATAACCTAATTGACGAAGTCAAAAGAAGGAAGCCTGTACAGAATAAAAATATTCCAAAACATGCATCCTGTTTGCAACAAGGCACTAAAGTAATATTGCAAAAAATGTGGCAAAGCAATTCACTTATTTTCCTGAATACAAAGTGTATGTTTGGGGCACTCCAATACAACACATTACTACCACTCTCCATATTTTCAAGCGTTGTGGTGGCTGCATTATGTTATGAGTATGCTTGTAATCGTTCAGGACCTCAAGAGCTTTTCAGGATTAAAATTTTTTTTTATGAAGGTAAGCACAGGCAAAATCCTAGAGGAAAACCTGGTTCAGTCTGCTTTCCACCAGACACTGGGAGATGAATTCACCCTTCTGCAGGACAATAACCTAAAACACAAGGCCAAATCTACACTGGAGTTGCTTACCAAGAAGACAGTGAATATTCCTGAGTGGCCTAGTTACTGTTTTACTTAAATATAATTGAAAATATATTGCAAGACCTGGAAATGGTTGCCTAGCAATGACCAACAACCAATTTGACACAGCTTGAAGAATTCTGAAAATAATAATGGGCTAATGTTGCACAATCCAAGTGTGGAAAGCTCTTAGAGACTTACCCAGAAAGACTCAAAGCTGTAATCGCTGCCAAAGGGGCTTCTACAAAGTATTGACTCAGGGGTGTGAATACTTATGTAAATTAGATACTTCTGTATTTCATTTTCAATACATGTGCAAAAATGTCAAAAAACTTGTTTTCACATTGCCATTATGGGGTATTGTGTGTAAATGGGTAGGGAAAAAATCAATTGAATCCATTTTTTATTTAGGCTGTAACACAACAAAATGTAGAATAAGTCAAGGGGTATGAATACTTTCTGAAGGCACTGTAGCTACTGTATTTCAATTCTCTTTCATTTTATTAATTTTTTACAATGGGTGAGTTGAGGTGCAATTGCAAATGCAAGCAACTGCTTTTGGGTGATGAACAAACAGCTTGTTTCGTTGGGCCTGTGTAACAGGTCCCAGGTGTGGGACACTGTGAAACAGGATAAAACATCTGCTACATTAATTTAATTGAAAAACACATTCACAAATACATTAACCTCTTTCTCAATGACATACATCATATAGCAATCAGCTATTCATGTAATTAGTAATGACACTAAAATATGGTCTGGTGGTGTACAAAACCACTAAAATAACACCCTTGTATTACATAAGCTACAACAGTACATACAATTCTCTATTTATACAGGCTACTAGTAAAACAAATTATAAAAGAGGCATACATATTCAGTGTAACAAAAACCCATAGACTAGCTAACACAGGAGCTAAAAATAGCTAAGGCAAATTGGCAGGCTACTGCTAAGAATAGACTGTAAAAAGAATGGACAAAGCCATTGATGATGTCACCCCATTGTTTCCAATGTGAAGTCTCAGTGGCATTTGAAGATCAGGAAGTGTAGTTTTGGCGCCACCATCTAGCTTCATGGAGGAGTTTTTGGAAACATCGCATGCACAGTTTGAGCTACACCAGGAAGTGACGTTGCAGCTAACTCAGTGCTGCCCCCTCTCATTGAGTATCTCAAGTTGAAGGCCGACCGGGGTACTGCAGGCTGCAAATTATCCTTATGTGTGCGATTTTAAAATAATCGGTTCAAGGACTTACAAATAGAAGAAAATGTTGGTACAATAACTGTGTTTGAATATAAAAAAATATATATCTATGAATATTGACCACGAAGATAACCATACTCCAGTGTTTCCCAAACTCGGTCCTCGGGACCCCAAGGGGTGCACATTTTGGTTTTTGCCCTAACACTACACAGCTGATTCAAATGATCAGAGCTTGATGATTAGTTGATTATTTGAATCAGCTGTGTAGTGCTAGGGCAGAAACCAAAACGCCATTGGGGTCCAGAGGACCGAGTTTGGGAAATCCTGCCATACTCCCACTGACTATAATGGGGATCCTGCAGTACTCCGGTTGGCCTTCAATTTATAATCCTCAATATGAGGGGGCAGTCGTTCTCCCCTGGTGCTAAGCTAGTCAGCGGTTAGCATTTAACAGTCAACTCCAAATTTCATAACATATAACTGGTTAAAATACATATAATTGGCATGTCTCATACTGTATGTACACATGAAAATAAAAATAATGTGAGCCTTAGCTCATGCAATTAAAACCATTAGGAGCTAAAAACATGTATTATAAAAATAGAATTAATCACGGCCGCCATTTTGTCTCACACGCTTAACTTACAGTACCTGTCAAAAGTTTGGACACACCTACTCATTCAAGGATTTTTCTTTATTTTTACAATTTTTTACATTGTAGAATAATAGTGAAGATATCAAAACTATGAAATAACACATATGGAATCATGTAGTAACCAAAAAATATATTTTATATTTGAGGTTCTTCAAATAGCCACCCCTTGCCTTGATGACAGCTTTGCACACTCTTGGCATTCTCTCAACCAGCTTCACCAGGAATGCTTTTCCAACAGTCTTGAAGGAGTTCCCACATATGCTGAGAACTTGTTGGCTGCTTTTCCTTCACTCTGCCGTCCAACTCATCCCAAACCATCTCAATTTGGTTGAGGTCGGGGGATTGTGGAGGCCAGGTCATCTGATGCAGCACTCCATCACTCTCCTTCTTGGTAAAATAGCCCTTACACAGCCTGGAGGTGTGTTTTGTCATTGTCCTATTGAAAAACAAATGATAGTCCCACTAAGCCCAAACCAGATGGGATGCCGTATCGCTGCAGAATGCAGTGGTAGCCATGCTAGTTAAGTGTGCCTTGAATTCTAAATAAATCACAGACAGTGTCACCAGCAAAGCACCCCACACCATAACACCTCCTCCTCCATGCTTTATGGTGGGAAATACACATGCGGAGATCATCCGTTCACCCACACCGCGTCTCACAAAGATGGGACTAATAACAACTAACAACAAAATAATAACAAGATAACTAATAATGTAAGCATACTGTGTCCATACTAAGTATGTAGGTTGTATGTTGGGAGCTTTTGGGAAAGAGCACAGTTAGAAAGATATGGCATATAGAAGCAAACCGGATGGACATCATGAAAATGATCGGAGAGGTTGAGAGTAGAAGTAGTTCAGGAGAAAAAAACGAACAAAATATAATTATTGTAAAATTGACTGTGTCCATAAAATGTAGATAGTAAGTATAAGCTGGAAGTAGAGGCCTAAGCATTGTTGTTCACTAGTTTACCCCAAGTAGGGAAAGGGTGGCGGGTTGGAAAGTAATAAAGGGGAATATATATATATATATATATAAAAAACATGGGGGATTGGAAGTGATGAAGACAATTACATTGATGGAAGTTACAATCTATCTGCAATATTAAGCTGATCTACCCACCCCCCCCCCCCCCCCCCACAAAGAAAAAAAAAAAAAAAAAAAAAATGACACCAATTTGGATTATCCAGACCAAAGGACACATTTCCACCGGTCTAATGTCCATTGCTCGTGTTTCTTGGCCCAAGCAAGTCCCTTCTTCTTATTGGTGTCCTTTAGTAGTGGTTTATTTGCAGCAATTCGACCATGAAGAACTGATTCACACAGTCTCCACTGAACAGTTGATGTTGAGATGTACTGTTACTTGAACTCTGTGAAGCATTTATTTGGGCTGCAATCTGAAGTGCAGTTAACTCGAATGAACTTATCCTCTGCAGCAGAGGTAACTCTGGGTCTTCCATTCCTGTGGCGGTCCTCATGACAGCCAGTTCTATCATAGCGCTTCAAGGTTTTTGCAACGGCACTTGAAGAAACTTTGAAAGTTCTTGAAATGTTCCGTATTGACTGACCTTCATGTCTTAAAGTAATGATGGACTGTCGATTCTCTTTGCTTATTTGAGCTGTTCTTGCCATAATATGGACTTGGTCTTTTACCAAATAGGGCTATCTTCTGTATACCCCCCCTACCTTTAAAAATGAAGACAAACCCTTGAATCAGTAGGTGTTCTAAAACTGGTAGTGTAAATGATCAGGTAATGACTACAGATATGATACATTTCTGAAAATATGTGGATTAGTTAATGCCTAAGTATAAAGGCTTGTATATTGACACATACCCTTTCCGGAGTTAGAATATTCTACAAATACGTAAGCGTGTGCACGTGCATCATTTGCTTGTCTTGAATGTATCTCACCCCAGATATCTCCCTGGACTCATATGGTAGCAGAGACATTTCTGAGGTCCGAATTGGATGCATTTAGAAACTGTCCCATTACGGAGAATATCCTAGCTCCATATATGAAATTAAGGACATGCGTATCTGGAGCATGTCTACTCCTTATATCTGATAAAATGTCAGATATCCGGAAATATATAGATAAATATATCCCCTGATATTGACCCTTTTCGCTTTAGACTTACAGGATGAAGCCTCACTTTGCATGAGAAGTGAGAGACTCTTTATCAAACAACAAAAGTGTGGATGAAATGTATTTCTTCACTCCATCCACCATACTGGTCAATCGACATGCACCAACCACCCCACCTACTTCCTCAGGTATTTCATCTGCATGAACTTCATGCGCTACCCCAGAGATAACCCCCTTTATAGGCGCTCTGCTTCGAAGAGCCATACACACAACATTCCACTCCGATATGTTTTTAAGGTGCAAAGCGCGCTTCTTTTGCTAGCGGACACACACAAAATCTAAACATGACTTCTTGTGACTCTGACTGACGTCACATTATCCTCCAATGTATCCCATGAAGCTACGGAAGACCATCAACCATGAACTTTCAGATACCTACGTTTGTTTTTGTTTTCAAAGCAACTTTGAAATTCTTGTTTGTAATTAAAAGCGCTTTTTAAATAAATGTATTATTATCACAGATTTTCCGCGATACGTCAAACGGATCTCCCAGATAACTAGGCTTGGATTTCCTAGTTTCCACCACAAGTTTACTTCTCTTGTTTCCTATATTTTTAGCCAATGTAGCCAACTCATTCTCACTGTCTGTACTCTCATCTTCACCCGACATGCCGTTGGTTTCAAACAGAACATCCACCGCCGCCATAGCTTTCCCACTCTCCAATCCCCTGCTCATCCACTCGATCAGTGACCATCGTTGTCCTCTTCGGAAACAGATATGTCATTTTTTCCCCCTTCTTCTTTGAAGTTTATTGGCAGACTACAACCTATAAGGTGTATTTTTCCGCTACCTACTGTATGGGGTAGTTTGTGGGACTAAAATATAAAGAAAGAAGGGACTTTGTCAGGGAATGCCCCATTGTCAGGGAATGCCTCCTTGTCGGGGAACGCCCTCTGGACACTTGCTGCATTCAGACCCTTCTTTTGGGGCATGCCAGAATGTATGTGTGGTGGCTCTGATTCAGAGGGGTTGGGTTTTGTTTTTTGCCCTAGCACTACACAGCTGATTCAAATAACCAACTCATCATCAAGCTTTGATTATTTGAATTAGCTGTGTACTGGTAGGGCAAAAATCAAAACATGCACCCGGGGGACTGACTGCAATAGACCAAAGAGACTGAATATTCACACACACCACATTATTAGTTGCCATACTGGCAAGGACAATCTACATTATTTATATTTGATCCCCCCCTAGTGCTTGCTCATATGTGTACAGGTATGTGCTTCATTTGGACCGTATTTGTCCTGATACAGTACATGGTGTTCTATCAGAAGCCCCATTGCATTGTAGGATTCTCTCTGATCATCACTGGTGGTACATTTCTTCACAGATTTCCTACAATGTAAACAATTTAGTTGAAGTTTTTATTGCACATGGTGGTAATTAACAATGCATGTGTTTATAAGTATAATTAAAACCTATTAAATTATTTCAGTCTGAGCTGTAGTCATGACATGACATTATCTCACGATTCATGGTCATGAAAGTCACAAATTCTGCAAATTATGGAAGCCAAACTAATGGAGAGAAAGTACATAATCTGTCCATAAGAAAAGTTCACATTAACAGTGAAATAGTATTATTATTATGATTATTGACATCTTTACACAAAATTATTGCCATTAAGGCTGTCAGGTGCACCCGGATGGTTCCATGGGCTGTGTTGCCAGAGATAGAGAATGCGCAAAGACAGTATAGTATGAAGATCCCCGATCACGGTTGTAGGCAATGTCATGGCGACGTTGGCTAGCTAAATTCACGCGCAGAAACACTTAACAGGGTTGTCCTGCGCCGAACTGCGCATGTGCAGGCCGTCAAATCAAAGGCACTCCTTCGAAATTAAGTAGTTTTTTACGAAAATGAGAACGTGTCAATTTGTAAATTTCACGAGGGTGGATTAATAAGACGTTCAATTACTTAAGACATTGGCTTGAATCTAGGTGCCTTTAGATTTCTAGAAAACTAAGAACTAAGGAATCATTTTAACTTCTCAAACCCCGACCTGGTCTGCTTTGTAATAGTTCCCGGAAGTCTCGCGATGTTGCGACTCTGGGTTTAGAAACTCTGTGGAATGCGTAGGTTGCCATGTCTCCTGTTTGCACTGGAAACAGCAACTGCAGTAAAATGTGTGATTTTCTTTCTATTGTAAAAGCATCCCGTTTCATTCTCTACAATGGCCAAATAATACAAAATGTAAATAATAATAAAATATCTGAAAATGTCATGCGCAATACGTCCGGCATTTGTCGTAAAGTGATCAATACATATTGAATTATTTACAACTCATGCACACCTATCGAGGAATTGGTTTCATCCTTCCTTGGACCCTTTCTCAGGAACTGAACGCACGCCATAGGACAATTAATTTACATAATTATGTGTATTTCTAGCTACATTAAATATTATGATATCCTATTACCTATAAATATTGAACGTTAGCATTTACCCCAACATCATAGCACTACGCGAGACTGTGCATAGGCTACTGGTTTATCATCATCATTTGTTTCGGCTGATCCAAGCACTAACGTTAGCTACAACTGCCTGGATAAAATAAGGTAGCTACCTTACGCTTCTATCCTTTTCCTCTAAAATAACAGGGTTGTATCAGACTATTTTTCGTTCCAGCATGAGAAGTCTGCAAATATAATATTGTTATTCATGCATGTTTAGCTATGTGTCATCCCACTTTAGCTTACTGGAAGTGTTGCCAGCTCTTGTGGCTCTCTGGCGGGCGGCAGGTAGCTTAGTGGGTAAGAGCGTTGTGGCAGTAACCGAAAGGTCGCTGGTTCTAATCCCCGAGCTGACTAGGTGAAAAATCTGTCGATGTGCCCTTAAGCAAGGCACTTAACCCTAATTGCTCCTGTAAGTCGCTCTGGATAAGAGCGTCTGCTAAATGACTAAAATGTAAATGTAATGCATGATGATGAAGGGGGGCCGTAGCTAGCATACTGGCTGGATAGCTAGCTAGCTAGATGGCTAACTAACTAGCTACCTAGATAGGTCAATGTATACACAAATCTTTGGTAGCTGTACACTTTCGCATCATTAGGACACAATGATGGCATCAAATTTTAAAACACAATTACAGGGTTAGGGTCAGTGAGTTTTATGGGACTCACTGACAGTTTCGATTTAATATTTGAAGCTAGCTTTAACGTTAGCTAACGTTAGTTGGATGAGAATAGTTCTGCAATCAGCAGAGAAGACGGCCAGCTCCCATTGACATAAAGCTAACTTATCATGTCTGTATAGTTTCTCTGCCGATCATGGGACACCTGCACAACAGACTATGTAGCTGTAGGCTGTATCTGCTCATCATCAATAAAACTATTCTGGTGACCCTTCACTAATAAACAGGAACCTCAGATTTATCCAACTCCTTTCCTAGAACACTTTCTTAGGATACACAATGTTGTCAGGCAAAGGAGTAGGCTATGGCCTAGTGATGATTTGAGATGCCCAGGGGTGTCATTTCAACTAAACCTAGGGTGGTTGGGGTTACTTAGCTAAAGCCATCTACTACAGCCATGTTTATCTATGCACTGTTTAGAGAAAAAGTTGCGCTGTTCCCTGCAGCTGCGTCGATGCGCTCTCCATAAAGCCAGCTAGCCAGCGGTACAAACAGCCTTCCCTCCTGCTCCCGCATGGTCCTAAAGTCAGCGTTGTTATACCGCTAAACTGCATATGCCTTTTAATGAGGATTGGATTGATTTTAGTAGCCTATTGTAAAATGTTGGTGTTGAGATAGGGTATGGCGACCCTTCCATACCCAGTTGACGCCCCTGGAGATGCCATCGGATGGCCTAGTAATAATTTGAGCTGCCATCTGGCAACAATATTATTTACATGATAAATGGATGCATTGCATGAATGATTGTCTATCACAAATATATTATTGCTCACTCTGAATAATATAAATATTTGAGTAATTCATATTTTATTTCTAAGGTTGATGTAATATCTCAACCTACTGGATGTAGGCTGTAGCTTGTTACTCTTCTATGTCACTGTGAGTATTACAGTTTCTTTGTTGTCTAGGCTACATTATCTTGCTACAAAGCAATCACTCAGTGCCCATCTAGAAATGACCAACCCCAGGGCAAGTTGATTATGTAGCTAATCAGTAAGGTTTCAAGATAACAAGTTAGTTTGTCACATCCATAAATTCAGCGGGGTCGGAAGAAACCGGAAACATCCAGTTTTCAGGGGAAAAGGACATGCGCCTCGCATTTTACAGTCCCCGGTGAAACATATAGCAGATGCCTATAGTGTCTGTCTTTCTTTACATTTACATTTTATTCATTTAGCAGACGCTCTTATCCAGAGCGACTTACATTATTATTATATATATATATTTTTTCTCCCATACTGGCCCCCCTTGGGAATCGAACCCACAACCCTGGCGTTGCAAACGCCATGCTCTACCAACTGAGCTACATCCCTCCCCTACCCTTTGAGATTAAGTTCTTGCCACAAAGTCGACAGACGCCACATACCAATTTTGTTGGTGTCAACTTTGTCGGAGATTCCATTATTGCTAGATAACACTAGCTTATATCTGGCTAGCAGCTAGCTACGGCACATGCTAGCTTGCTCTCTGAAGTTGTTTCCATCCGGAATATTAACAAGGCAACACTCCATCTTAACTCCTCCTCGACATTTACTGTATTGGTTGAACAGTTTTTTTGTTCTTGTCATGATCAGAATGTGGGGCATCAAGTTCAAGCGTTTCTTTTACGCCTGGTACGTTAGGTTAATAAATTATATGTATGAGACTCGAAATTGAGCTCAGGTGCATCCTGTTTCCATTGATCATCCTTGAGATGTTTCTACAACTTGATTGGAGTCCACCTGTGGTAAATTCATTGATTGGACATGATTTGGAAAGGCACACACCTGTCTATATAAGGTCCCACAGTTGACAGTGCACGTCAGAGCAAAAACCAAGCCATGAGGTCGAAGGAATTGTCCGTATAGCTCCAAGACAGGATTGTGTCGAGGCACAGATCTGGGGAAGGGTACCAAAACATTTTTGCAGCATTGAAGGTCCCAAGAACACAGTGGCCTCCATCATTCTTAAATGGAAGAAGTTTGGAATCACCAAGACTCTTCCTAGAGCTGGCCGCTCGGCCATACTGAGCAATCGGGGGAGAAGGGCCTTGGTCAGGGAGGTGACCAAGAACCCGATGCTCACTCTGACAGAGCTCCAGAGTTTCTCTGTGGAGATGGGAGAACATTCCAGGAGGACAACCATCTCTGCAGCACTCCACCAATCAGGCCTTTATGGTAGAGTGGCCAGACGGAAGCCACTCCTCAGTAAAAGGCACATGACAGCCCGCTTGGAGTTTGCCAAAAGTACTCTCAGACCATGAGAAACAAGATTCTCTGGTCTGATGAAACCAAGATTGAACTCTTTGGCCTGAATGCCAAGCGTCACGTCTTGAGGAAACCTGGCACCATCCCTATGGTGAAGCATGGTGGTGGCAGCGTCATGCTGTGGGGATGTTTTTCAGCGTCAGGGACTGGGAGACTAGTCAGGATCGAGGCAAAGATGAACAGAGCAAAGCACAGAGAGATCCTTGATGAAATCCTGCTCCAGAGCGCTCAGGACCTCAGACTGGGGCGACGGTTCACCTTCC